CGGCATTGTTCAATAGGACTAGTTCCCATTGCCTCAACATGGCCAGTCTGTTTGGCTGCTGTTGATTGCCCAGTGCATTAAAGTGCACTCGACTTTTACACCTGTTTCACTGTCTGGCAGGGTAAGGGTTAACGGAAAAAAGAGAAAAATTTGCAAATCCAATGATGTAGCTAAGAAAATACGCAACAAAAGGTAAGTCGGACACAAAGTGGGCAAAGCGTACGGTTTCTGTCTGATGCTTTCTTGTAGTATTTCCAAACAATAACAGTGAAACACCACTGGGTCGCAAAAAACCTCCAAAATGTGATGAGGGAAGATTCAGCACCAGGGTCACTCCACAACAAACTGTTTCAAAATTAAAAATGCAAAAATGCATTTCGCGTGCACTTTAACTAGCATTAAAAACTTGTACAACTGGTGTAAATATTGACCACAGTTAACTAGAAGCAGACTGTTTATTCTTGAGAACTCAAAAACAATAAAATAGGAAGCTTGCCTCTTTTCTTGGTTAGAGACCATGTAGACAACTTGTTGGACCTTTTCCACGGGTTTACCGACTGAACCGATGTAGACGACTGCCGGACGGCGCAGGTAGGATCGCGCTACACGCTCCACGGCGGTAGGCATGGTGGCGGTGAACATCACGGTCTAGCAGAACAAAATGAAAAAAGAATAAGAAACTCAAACTTCCCCCCCCCAAAAAAAATGGATGTAGAAGGGGACAGCCGAAAGATCAGACTACAAACGTCCGATTTCACTGAGCTAACCAAGTAAAGAATGAGGCCGAGCCCTTTACGCGCTTAGCACAGGAAATGTAGATTACCAACATGCCCTATGATGTTCGCTACTCAGGACTAGTTCCCTGCTCACTTTTGCTTAGCATATATGTTTTGCTTAGCGATTTCTTCCCCCTTTGCAGGACTGTGAAAGTTCAAGCACCGGACAGTGCTGACTGTGGTTCTCAAATGAAAAACGTTAACCATGATATTTTTCAATGTGACTGCTTGCTTTTATTGATATAGGAGGGGTATTTATTTACAAGGTGGTATTTGTAACACTCAGTGGGCTAGGTGAGTGCAAACATTTCTGTCTTTACAATCACACTGCAGTCTAGAACTTTGTGGGCGAAATGCCAAGGGCCTAATCTTGGCCACTTGGAACTGGGAAAATCTTCATGAGCTGAAAGCTTGCCATGAATATTTTTGTGTCTTAGGTTCTTTCTGATGATGAGGTCATCATCAGTTATGAGGATTTAAAGCATCGAGAGGCCCATCTCCACTCGGCTCTGAAAAACACTTGGCATTACGAACCTGTCGGAATTTGTGCTTGGTGGCAAAATTTGCGAGCAGGACTTCGGTATCTTCGGCATCTTCGGTGTCTGGCTTCTGATTGGTCACTGGTAGGTACTCCAGAATTTTCTGGACGTCCGGCTCAAAGCCCATGTCAATCATTCGATCAGCCTGGGAAGACAAAGAGAGACAGAAAAAAGATTGGCTTTGATATGTATGATTCGCGTGCAATGCCACCGCGGGCTAGGCCTCGATCTATCAAAATCCAACATTTGGGTTCAGAGGATTCAGTGGGGTTTTATAGGACTGAGGGCCAGCCACTATACTAAACATGTATAGCCTTTTGAAAGTTGCAATCGAAAGGGTGCACAATTGGGTTCCTGAGCAGTGGTGGATAGCAGAGGTTTCAAGAATCGGATTATTAGCTAGGGGGTTGGAGTTACAAGTGCACTCACCTCGTCCAAGACGACATACGTACACTGGTTGAGCACCAGATAGCGATTCTCAAGCACGTCGATAAGACGGCCGGGGGTCGCTATGACGACCTCGCATCCCTTCCTCAACTTGAAGCCCTGGTCCTCCCTGGAGATGCCTCCGATGATGGAGACGGAGCGGATGCCTAGCGGTTGGCCGAAGCGCAGCGTCTCCTCCTCAATCTGCTGGGCCAGCTCACGGGTGGGAGCCAAGATGATTGCGTAGGGCCCCTGGTCCACGTCTTCTTCCCTGTGGAAAATGAACGGCTCCATTTTCAGTTCCTTTATCATGGAAGGTCATTACATCCACCAAGAGATTTCTGGCACACTCCCTGCAAAGCGAGATGCCATCCAGAATATCTCATTAGCTGAACTGTCAGGGAGAGGCCAATCTGTTTGAAAGTTTGAAAGGACATATCATGTCCTCCCTGCCAAGTGGATCTGGCGCCCTCAATGGACAATACACAAGGCCAATGCAACAGTTGGATGCACTCGCTGGTGACAGATTATCAGAGGATGTTTTGCCCAAATCAACTCAGCCACAAGTTCTGAACAGCGGCCGCAACAAATCAGGATCTCAATGCTGCGCGTATCTGGCACCCTCTGTCAATCACGCACAGAGCTATTGGAATTTTTTGTTTAGATCTGACAGCTTGTGATACATACCGCTGGATTTTAGGCAGCGTGGTAATCCACACGAGGAGAGGGATCAGGAAGGCAGCTGTTTTGCCGCTGCCGGTCTCGGCAACGCCAATGATATCACGGTTCATCAGTCCAATAGGAATGGCCTGCCGCTGAATGGGCGTGGGTTCCTGCAATGATTGACGATGAATATATTTCCGCTTAAAAATTGGGAATTCACACTTTGAAAGATCCAGGTTTAAGAAAAAAATTTGAAATTCACTCCAGGAGTTGTCTTAGTTGAATTTTTCTAATCACTAAGTAGTTTGAAAACGTTAATATTCAAACAAAACAACTAGTTCAACACTAGGGGTACAAACAATTTGAAAGCAGGTCAAAAAATCTGTTAGACTCATTTTTTTGGAAGAAATGGAAAATGCTGGAATCTTCTCTACAAAAAAGATGCAAAATTTCAGACCAGTTTCAAACTCCTGTTAATGACATTTTTTGACAGTCACAATTTTGGACGTCATCCTTGCAATTCCTAGAGCCAAATTCAGAGAACTTATAAATCCCGTTAAAAAAAAAAAGACTGAATTGTTGAAGGCGTACCTTGTAATTCAAACTCTTGATGACGGCGCTGATGTTGGATGGGATGCCATCGCACTCATCCCAGGAGCGTAGCGGGGTGGGGATGCGGCCCCCCTTGGTGCTGATGTTGTAGTCCTCCCGGAAGATGCGCCAGTCCCGCTCTGTCATCTCGGCCAGCTTCTTGTCCTTCCAGTGCCGGTCGTCCCACTTCTGCTTCTGCTCCTTCTTGTCTTCCTTCTTCAGTCGCGACCTGCGAAAGGTTCGGGAGGCGAGGAGGGGGGGGAGGGAAAGAAGATGACAAGGAGACGGAAAGAGAACTTCCTTCACTTCCTTACACTTGTTTCTTTCCTTCCTTGACCCGAACCCGCCTTGATTCTTCCAAAAGCTACTAACTGACGCCAAAGCACTCTTCACTGACTGACAAATTTTCTACCAAAGCAGCAGAAGACTTCAGGTGTGGCGTCGGCCAAACTTTGCGCAGGTCTATATATTTCACTAGCTCGTTCAGTAGCTTTCAAAGTTCAAATTGGAACGGGAGAGTGGAGGGTTGCGCGGGATTGGCAGAAGGCCAAGCCCGGCGATTGGTTTTTCGTACGGAATAGTTCAAGCATCAAGAGTAGGCCGTTGGTGGAGGACTTTACACGATTCATTAGCTGAACTGCGCCTTATTACAGCTTCCCAACAAATTACCCGAAAAGGGAGAAATGTACTCCCTTACCTTTCCTGCTCCTTCTGCTTTCCGGTTCGTCGCTTCTCCAGGAGCTCCGAGTAGAATCGCGCCTCCTTCTTCTGTTGCTTGATGTCGATGCCTCCGATGTGGCCCCGCCCAAACAACTGAGCCTCGTGCTTCTCCTTGTAGCTGAAAACAGAGATGTACAAATTCTCAGAAACAAGACGTCGTAGGCTATTTCGAGGACAAAAGCAATCGTTTGCATTTTGGTATCATCTGTGTTCATTGTTTTCAAGGCCTGTGTCCGGCTACTCACATCGGATTGAAGTCCACTGATGTGTCTTCCCCTGCGTCCCAATCGAAGACGAATTTCCGGTCGTTCAGTCGCCGAATGCGTCGCTTCTTCTTAACAACTCCAAGGTATCGATCCTTAGAGTGAACAACAAAGAAGGTTGAAATGATCAAACTGACCCCCCCTCAAAAAAAAATTTAAGGAACCAAGACTTCATTTAGCTCATTAATTTCAAGGCCTCCACAAAACTCAGGGAGATTACGAATGTATAGAATTCATTTTATGGAAATTTTTCCGTGATAAATTCGTAATTCTCCCCGAGGGAAACCCATTTATAGACTCTGACTATAAATCTAAGACCTATCCTAAGAACTTGAGTTTTCCTGGGAAGTTTGTAATGTTTCCATGGCAAATCAGATATTTTACCGTAGTGCCATCATAAGAAATATCGAAAGAAATAACAGCTTGCAGAAATTTAGCCCACAAATGTTTACCGCCAACCAGGAGTTTCCCACCCCCCCCAAGATTTTTTCTGACCAGCTCACCTTGATGGCCTGTTTCTCCTTCTCTTCCTCCCGCTCTCGCCCCTTGGACTGGTCGTCCTCCCGCTCTCTCCGTTCTCGTCTCTCCCGCCGTTCCATCCTTTCGCGTTCTCTCGGGTCACCTGTTACCATGGCAATCAAGGAAAAATATACATATAACAGCTCGACTACTTATGGTTTAAAATACTAGCATGATTCCTTCACCACGGGTGCGAGGCACTCGGCAGTATCAGCAAAATTGCCACGGGACCCATCCCACGGAACAACATCACTGTTGGAAAATAGGATGGAACTAGAAGTAGTCAGCCACCACCCCATCTGACAGTTTACATTAAATGAGGGAGATTCAGGGAACATGATCAAAAATGGCTACCTTGTGAGAGTAAGGTCTATTAAAACCCATCACCCTTTGCAAGGTATGGAATGCTACATGTCAAGTTTTGTCTGTCTCAGATTTTGCAGATAACCCCGTCCATTTTGTTTATCATGTAATTGGCCAGTGCTGGACAAAGCTGGTTGACGCAATGCAGCCTTAAGAGGTCCATTGAGCAAGCTCCCCACTTTAACAATTGTTGTCATTCAGAAAGTTTAGCCATGTAAAGGTCACGCCACATCTATCAGAGACGAAAACAAATGCACTCACTTGCTAGCTGAGAATTCTTCAGGAATTCCAGCTGTTTCTTCCGTGCTTCTTCCTGAGCTTGCCGCTTGGCATCTACTTCTGCTTTCCTCTTCTGTAGGGCCAGCTGGGTTCGCTCCTCCTTGGTCAGAAACTTCGGCTGTCAGCAACAAATTAAAGACAGATGCACTTCATTTTTCAAATGTACTCCAATTTTATAAAGCTTGTTGAAAAATGCTTCCACAGAAAAAAGTGAACGATGAAATAGCTTCACACAAGCACGTTAAGTGACTCTCCAACCCACAGGGTGTTTATGTCTTGCTGTAAGACACATGTTTATTAAACATGTGCAGGTGTGATGCCAATGCAGCGGTGGCATCTGTAGAGGTCAGTTCACCTATAGAGGTCGGGTCATCTGCAGGAGTCAGGTCATCCAGAAAGGTCAGGTCACCTACGGAGGTTAGGTCACCTACTGAGGTAAGGTCATCTAAGGTCAGCTCATTAATGCAGGTAGAGCAACCTACAGAAGAGAAATCACCTGTGGTCATGTCACCTGTGGAGGTCATGTTACCTGTGGAGGTTATTTTGCCTGTGGAAGTTTAGTCACCTGTGCGGGCCATGTCACCTGTGGAGGTTTAGTCACCTGTGAGGGCCATGTCACCTGTGGAGGTTTAGTCACCTGTGAATATTATGTCACCTGTGAAGGCCATGTCACCTGTGGAGGTTTAGTCACCTGTGAATATTATGTCACCTGTGAAGGCCATGTCACCTGTGGAGGTCAGATCACCTGTGGGGGTTATGTCACCTATGAAGGTCATGTCACCTTGGATTGAGCTTCTTGCTCTGCTGCCTTCTTGGCAAGCATCTCCTCCAAGGATACCGGTTGCTTCTTCTCAACTTTCTCGTCGTCTTCATCCTCCTCATCTTGTCTTTCCCTTTTTGCTCTGTTGGAGAAGCAGAAGTCTCATCAACATTACAGTCTTATTCCAGAACTTCAAACGTAACTCCCTTAAGAGGTTCCTTGGCCAAACTACCCATTGAGGGTTCAACGTTTGGGAACTCATATTTTGCCTTCACCTTTGCTTTGTCTCACCTTTGCTTCCTGTTGTTAGGTGACCGGGATCTGTCACGTCGTGATCGGTAGCGGTCCCTGTCGCGCTCTCGATCTCTGTCCCGCTCTCTGTCTTTGTCACGATCTCTCTCCCGAGTCTTCTTGTCATCTCGGTGCCTGTCCCTGCGATCGCGGTCCCTTGACCGAGAGCGAGATCTGAAATTTGAAATAAAAAGGGGCCAGTCAAGTTAGCGAGTGGACAACCTCAATTTTCCCCAATCAATGTCACGAAACCCTCTTTTACAAACTCAAGACAAAGCTGCAGACAAGCACACTCTACAAGTAAGGTTCTCAAATCTGTTTTGAATGGGAGGGAAATTTGATTATTTGAATTTAGGCATATTCTTGCAATTTTGTTTGCCCTTCATATCTACCTGAGTGAGGTAATGTGATGGGTCATGCAAAGTGTTGGTAATTTTTTTTGGGGGGGGAGGGGCTGGATGGGTGGGTGGGGGTTGACAGGTTGATGGTTGGACTACCTTCTCCTCTCCCTGTCCCGATCTCTTTCCCGATACTCTCGGTCATCTCTGGTGTCCTTCCTATCCTTAGACGACATATCGCCGAAATGTCACTGGTTGAGCCTTCCTCAGCCCACAAAAAAAAACCAGAATGTACGCAAACAATAATTTGACACGAACAATAACACAATGACGTCAATGTAAGTATTTGACCTAACTAGACCTAACTAGACTTGCCGCAAAATAAAAGTTTGGGGCTTTTTAAGAGGTACATAGGTTACCAGTCTGTTTACCCTGATGAATAATGAGGCTTGTCATCACATCACACACGTAATCCTTAAGTAAGCCATGTATGACTGCTCTAATTTCTACGTAGGATTTGTTGACATCAATGACATGACTAACAACAATGCACGAATCCACGTGACAAGTGCAACTAAGTTTTATTTAAACATTAGTTTTGATAATTGCTCCCCAAAGACAACAATCTAAAAACCTTGCCCTCTGTGATCAAGATATTCGGCAACCCATGCGGGCCCAGGGTTAAATTGGGTAGGTCATGGCAAACCAGAAAAAGGCGGCGACATACACCGTGAACCAACCGCTGCGAACAGTGCGCCGCGCAGCTCAGTCGGGCAATGGACATGCTGGCATGGCCGGCTTGGCCCATGGTAGGCATAAATAACGTCAACTTTCAAGCAACATTTACATCAAGCAAAAGCTTTAGAGTCCAAAATTTTACTCTTGAAATAAAGGACGTTTATAGGGAAAATATGTTTAATTCAGAAAAACGTTAAAACTACCTACTGGACACGAAAAATGGGTCGATAAATGTACCCCTAAACTTACCTCGACGCTCAATGAACGTTCACTGAACGTATTTTAGCGCCCTCATTTGTTTGCGCGTTGTTTTTTTTTTACACTGAACGCTTAACGAAGTGAGGGCGCGCTTCCCAATTTACAGTATTGTAACTTCAACTTCGGGTCGATCGTCCTGATCGTGGCAGCGTATGCCGCCCAGTGAGTAGGGGGCCTATATGGGCATTTTTGTGGGTTAAGAAATCGCACTCATATAGTTAATATGAAAGTGATACTGGGCAAATTTGAAGAAGGCCAGTCCTTGAAATGATCGTTGCACTGATAGCCACAAACGTGCCTTGGCTGCATAGCATTATTCATCATGGCAATCTTTAATGCCTGGCATAGGCCTGGTTACCATGGTGACTTAGGCCTAGTTACTTTTGGGGTGAGTTCGAGCATGGAGCTACTCGTGTTAGCATGAGTATACTCCTGAGCGCTCGAACGGCTGGAGTACGACCCAAGGGTTAGTGCAAGTATACTCTCACTAGAGGGGGAGTATACTTCTGAACCCAAGTGTAACCTAAACGCACCCATCTTACTCGTGTAACGTTAACCGGAATGACCACGCGAACGCACCCTTTAATAGCTCCATGCAGATACAGATTTACAACCCCATAATTTTCCATTCCCCACTTTCACCCCACTCCCATTCGATTTATCTTACCCAAGAGAAACATCTGATGAAAATTTTGATGAGGCTTCGCTATTAATTATTTAAGCGTAAGCCCTATCCATAGATTAGATATCAGAGGCCAGTTATCATCCCTCAGATTAATTCAATTTAATTTAATTCCTTATTATACCCCTTCTCCACGTTCTTTTTCAGTAACAAGCAGTTGAAGCACCTCTTGCACCCCTCGCAGTGGGCTATAATTATTGAAGATGGAGTGAAAACTTGAACCACCGGACGCCATGACTGGGCGAGATTACAGAGGCTTCCTGTCTCAGCACCGTGCCGGGCCAAGAGAAATTGGCAGGGCCTATGAATCAGGTATGGAAAAAAATGCTACATAAGGGAATCAATCTCCCAACTTCCAATGGCAGATCATCTGGATTTAGTTTCTTTTCAAAAGATAGCGGTACGAGGATTTTTGTTTGTGTAGGGCCTAAGAGATTTTTATTGCTGCACAAAAATTGGTTTCTATACAATAAAGAGCCAAGCTTGTAATGGATTTGAAAGGGCAATGGTGTTGGTTATTTCATTGTCCACCTTTGGGTGGTAATCCTATTTGCTGTTTTTTGCTCTCTGCATTGGTTTCTTCAGGCATGTCAAGGCATTTAATTAAGGTTTCCAACCTGGATGGCTAACCTAGGGCCACACTAACCTACTAATTTCACATTACCACCCAGATAAGCTTTTGATACGGATGACCGAAGGCCTAGGCAGCAGTAGGTACACCGCACCCGACTATGAGAAGCTTAAAGCTCTTGCTTTGGAGAAGAAAATCTCTGGCAATCGCTCGCTGATCAAGGTCAACCGCCTTGCTGCAATCTCCAGGGCTAGTCAAGAGAAAAGCCTCTTGAAGCAGCACGGAATGGTCTGGCAACGAGAGGTTGGACGATTGGATGCGGCGCGGAAGCGAGCTGAGAGCGAACAGGACTCGTTCTTTCTGAGCAGCACGTCGGAGCAGTCAGAGATTTCCATGTTCATGCTGGAGGCCGAGGACTATCAGATGGAGCTGGAGGTAGACAGGAAGGCCTTCAAGGGGGCTACCGTGGACCCCCTCTGGACGCTGCGAGAAGACCTCCAGGCCTGGCTGACCGAGAACTCACCTCAGTTTCACCCAGGCTCGCCGCGGCATGAGGAGCTCGCAGAGCAGCACACGCGGATCACCGAGACAATCGACTCAGTCAAGGAGCAACAGCAGGGAATCCTGAACAAACTATGGCACGAGGAGCGGGCATTGGAGCAGGACCTGCACTCCAACTACCTGCGGGGGCTGTTTGCCGGAGCGGAGAAGTGGGTCGTGGAAGGGATACCCACCGAGGCTCAGGTCCTAATTTGTCCCGACATGGAACTCAGAAGCTCTGTGCTGTTGGAGTTTGGGCTCCTGGACCAGAAATATTTGGTGCGACTCAGGGACCTCGACAAGATGCATTCAGATGTACTAAGGTAAATCACTGTGCTTAAGAGGTAATACATTGTAGGTCCAAAGACCTTGGGACAAGTTCTTGTTCATCTTTTTCAACCAGATACTGTTTCTTTGTACCCTAGATCAGACACTGGTGGTTGGGACGCGGCAGACCACTTTGCCTACCAGGTGATCGTCGACCAGTACCCCCATGATCTCTCCAATCGAAGAGCTCTTTACATCGACAGGCTTCGACGGCAGCTGCCCCACAAGACAAGAAATGACATTGTGAGCATATGCGAAGAGACAGATTTATTCAGATAATGCAAGTTGGTCACTGCTTGCCCATCCTGATAAACGCATCTTATAAGAGATTGCAAACTGCAAGTTTTTATTTTGGATACTCGTGCATCTGAAAAGCTAGCACCTTTCTGCTGAAAAACTTCTACTAAAAAATAGAGTCCTTTTAAAATTGGAAATACTTTCTTTTCCCCCAAGTTGAAACATCTGCTTTCTTGCATCTCTGCAAACTCAAGAACAGGTTCGTCCAACTGGGCTGGTGTGGGAGTACACGGGGACCCTGTGTGCTGTAAACCATTTTCCCAATTTGGGGAGTCGGGTTGGCGAAGTGATTCTTTGCTCACCTTCACCTCTGTGGCCCGGGTTCGATTCCCAGCTCAGTACATGTGTGGATTGGGTTTTCAGTCCCTGATTCTGTGGGTCTTACCCAGAATATTCCTCTGGGGTTCTCCTCTCACTTCTAAACCTGTAACTGCTTCTTGGTGGCTCCTCTCTATAGATGTAGGTGGATGTGGGTCGTTGGCAGCTACCCGGGGCACCCTTGTATGCCATCGGCTTGACCACATTTAATGTCTTCATTCTACAGTGTATTTGATCATATCTGTATGAAGTTTGCACTTTATAAGTGATTAAATTATTGATGGTGACTCCATATTTCTGTGTACAGGTGGCCCACGAGGACTGGTCCCTGCATCACCGGTTCTACGTCGAGCGCCGCCGCACCCTGATCAACTGCTGGGCGCGGGACAAGCAGGAGCTGTACGACAAGGCCGTCACTGTCTTTGCCGACGCCTGCCTGGCCGAGGAACTGCGGCAGGCTACAGCGATCAACCGGCAGCGACAGGACGAAATCTGCCAGCAGCTAGGCCAGAAGGTAAAGTTCCAGCACAGCAGAGTTCAGAGAACGGACACTTTTAACTGTAGCAAATCACACTATCGCTTAACATCCGTAAGAAGTTAAGCGTAGTGATCAACTTAAGTGCACACCGCATTGCAGGAGAAGTCAACATCGTGATGCAGTTCCTTAGTGATCATGCACAGTTGTAAACCATCAAACCTTGTCTATGCTTTCACAACCACAACTTTAAACTCTCCCGTTTTTGTCACTACATGGAATGCCATGATCAATTCTGAAATTCTCTTTGGCTTGTAGTGTTACGTCAATACTCACGGGATGTCAGCTAACTTCTAAGTATCTAGCCAATGAAACATGGCATAGTTACCAACATCGACTGCGAGTCAGGGATGGGCCTTTGGAGATAATTGTTGAGGGCACGTCATATTTTGAATTGCTTTAACTCATCAAGTTAAGCATTAAATTAAACAGAACCTCAGACTGTAATTCCCCAGCCAAATTTCACTGAGCTATGAGTAAACAGGAAATACTACCTGGGAAATTCATGACGAGGAGCCAGCCACAAGAAATACAGAGTGGTCCTTTATTGACTTGAGAAAGAATATTATTTCTTCATCGAAGGTTCAACGCTGGAAAGAGCAGAAAGCAGAAGCCATGAGACTGGAGGACGAGATAGCATCTCAACAGCGACGGCAGTTAGAGGAGCAGAGGGCCAGGGAAGAAGAAGCAGATCAGAAGAGGAGAGCCGTGGACAAGCAGAAGGTGAGGACTGGGCTTCGTCTGACAGGGGGCTGACCCATGCCTAGTGCCGACACAAAGACGCAATAGCTTTCCAGGTTGTGCAAACGCTGCATGCAACATCTGTCAAAACAACAGTACGCACCTGGTTTGTTTACCAGAGAGACATCTTTGCCAAGTAGCAAAGCGCCCTCTTTCATCCATGCATGCAGGCAACTGGGCATCTAGGGGCAAGTTCGATCGACATCCATTTCTCAACCACTTGCTGATTTCGCCTGGTACCCAGTTTAAATTTTGCACACAGGTTACCAGGCAAAAACAACCAATGGTCAACAAACGGTCGTATTCCAGACTCGCCCCAGTTTGACATCATTTGGCCCAGGTTTAGTCCAGAGCGTTGCCGGTTTAGTTCACTAAAACTGCTTTGGACTGACTTGACATGGTCTTTTTTCTCCCGTACGGGCAGGTGGAAGCGTACCACCTCAAGCAGAGGAAGGAGCAAGAGGCGAGGGAGAAGGAAAATAAGAAGCGGCTGGCAGACATCCAGGAAGCCATGGAGCTGCAGGCACAGAAAGACCGAGAAAGGTACCGCAGGGAGAAGTGGATCAGCCTGCCATTGGCTTTGTGTGTGACCCGTTGAGGGCGCTATGTAGACTGCTTAAGAGAGCCCAATGAGGGCACACTCCCTCTGCAGTGTGGGCATGGGCAAACAAGGCTGCACATTCAAAGAGCTGTTACATAGTGACACTGTTTTTAATGTACATAAAACTAGCAAACAGCATGAGGATGTCTCTCTTAACTGTTCTCACGTTAGACTTATTTTCCCGTTTGCATCACCTGAGGGTGTTGCACCGAGCCAGAAAGTCATCCTGATAGGTTGAATTAAAAAAAAAACTTTGTGTAAGAACAGTCAAGAAACCAAATACCCATTGTGTCCCTCAGTCATTAGGAAGAAACCATGAATCATGTAATCATGTTCCAATTAGTTCCAACTACCCCTCGGCAATAGGGTAAGGTGATATTTCAGAAGTGGTTTCAGTGATGATGTAAATTCTGGAACACCTGCTGCACGGAGGGACGCAGGAGTCTATTTTCAGCCTAGATTTCATGTTCCATTGTCAGATTGAATTGCATAACAATTTCAGGTTTTTTTTATTAGGGTTGCCTACCGAGAGATGCTTCTGGAGGAGCGCAAACAGCGACAGCAGGATGAGAGACGCAAGGAAGCCGAGAATGAAATGGAGCGAGAACGGAGATTGGACGCACTGCGACAAATGGTAATGACAGGTCTTCTGTAGCCTTCCGGCAAAGCAAATGCAAGTAACTGGTTAGATTGAATTGCTGTATATTCATGAGATTGCCGTTTCCTTCCTGCAGGTGGAGGTGCACGTAGAAAATGATCCACAGCGTGTCTTCCAGAACACCAAGGTATAAGTTTCATTCTTTTAGATGTGAAAAAGGAAGACCATGCACTTTTATGCTGATTCATTTGTAATTAGTCAAGTAAATTCAATTGTAATTGGTTGTACACTTTCACTAGTAAATTGGTTGTACTCATTCAGTTGTAAATTGGTTGTGCACATTCAGTTGCAAATTGATCTTGCATTTCAGTGTATTAATTGTGACTTCTTGATCCCTGTAAGGCTTTTAAAGCCCACCTTGGCATCGGGGTCGATGAAGACATCAATATACAGAAACCGCTCTTTGATGCCAAAGGATTCACAGCTGAACAGGTTGGTTAACCCTTCGCACCCTTGGTAGCTTGTTACAAGTTTAATATTGATCACAGCATATCTTGCTTTACTGCCTAGTGAAGTAAAGAGCTTGGGCGGGAGTTTAAAATTTACACCTTACACTTTGCTAAGAATCAGAAAGGCCCTAGTTCATGGCAAAATATTCCATGCTGCATGTGAAAAACACTCCAAGAAAGATACATGTTTTGAGAAGGCTGTGACTAGCATTGACTTCAGTTTTATGCTACCTTTCGTAACAGGGCTAAGTAACAGATCTATTTATAGCTACGATTACGCACTTCTTATTTCAACACAGCTCACAGTCAATGCTCCCAGGACACGTCACATCACACATACGTCAAACCACCCCGTCTACGCTAAGTTTTTCTGATTATCAGCCACCTTTTTCTTTGCCTTCCCTTAAGGTGACGTCAGACCCCCGCTTCAAACTGGAGCAAGCCCTGCGCAAGGCCGGGCTGCATGGCAACCCTTACGCCAGGGCCATGATGGGGCACACCAAGCCCCTCAAACCGCCCAGGCGAGACCAGGAATCGACGGTCTTCAAAGACTTGGCACCTACCTGAACTTGTTTGTCTGAAAGCCTCTCAAAACAGCCAGCTCTGCTCATATTTACAAGCCAAGGTTCTGAGCTGAGAAATTCTGTGTAGGAATATGTTATGCTGCATCCAAATTTAGTGGCTATGGCTAGCAGTAACCAAGGCTTCTATGGAAAAATAGACTAAGCCGCCAGCCAGTGGCTTCCATTGCTGCATGTGTTGTTTTCAGCCATAGCCAATACTCCTGCAATTAGGACACAGTGTTTGCATGTACTGGTTGGCACCGGAGTGACATTAAATATTCAAAGCCGAATTTCGTTTGAATTTACACAAACTCCCAACGTCCTCACAGAGGAAGCTTTTACACAGGGAATCACAGTAACACTTGTGCCCAAGTTTCTGCACTTTCTCATTTCTCACATTCGAGGAATTAACTGCGGTCAGATTCTAAACTTGATGTCTTTAGGTTGAACATTATCTCTCCCTGTGTGGCTATTTTCCCAAAACACGTGATTTGACAACAAAGAAACAACAGTACAAAATTTAAAAAATAAAGAACAGATTTGGTAGTAAATGTTTGTTTTAAAATAGCAATAAGACAGTGAGTTTTAAAAATCTAAGTTAGTCTGCATTCCATTTGAGATTGTACTTGACTAATTTTTACATTATGTATATGCTTAGCGCAATCAATCAACACGATCACGCGAGCAGGTTGTGCTGTTAGTTGATGCCGTGTGAAATCTCGGACTCTACTTCCTTTCCTTGAAACTATGCTCCACAGCCATGACTTAGATTGTCTGATGGTGATGTTATTGACAGATCCTGCAATAAAATTGACAGATCGCGCTGAGCAATGCTCAGCATGTTTTATTAGGAGCTTCAAAGGGGTTCCACACAAATGCAATAACCATAGGCCTTCCTGGACATTTTTTATGTTTTTATGCATTATTTTGCAAATTCTGGCTTTCCCTTGTTTTTATCAGAGAGCTATTTGAAGAGTATAAAAGTCAGTGAATGTGACCATGCATTAGATGTGATTGAAACTTCGATTTTCTGGCCTTTTTCTTTCAAGAGGCACTTTGTTTGTTGAGGGGCACTGGACAGCCTCCGTAGTATCTGTTGAAGAAAAGCAATATTTCTTCATATTAAAAAAGGGTTGCTGCCAAGCAGCAGCATATCTACATCAACTTCAGACATGGAAGAAAAAAAACTCCCATTTACGTTTATGTAGTAAAACTGAATTCTCTTTAATTCGACCATAATTCTACCAGTTTTATGTTTTACTGTAGTATAAGATTACAAAACAGACATTGTGCAGAATAATAAACGCATTTTGCTGAACTGACACGCCTACCTCTTTAATATTTCGCACACGCCCGTTCCTTTCACCCCGTTGACCGTGAATCGACTCAGTCCTTCGCGTATTTTCACGCTCCAATCGGTGTCCATGTTGAAATGCATGACGTCGTCGATCTCAACTTCTACAAAAAGCTTCTCTCCAACTGCGACAAAAAACATAAACAGTTGGCTGGAATACTTTATTATTAGCTTACCTGTGTTCCCACTGAAATCATTCGTCTTTATCAGTCCTGTCCTTTCAGTTTTATACGATTTTGTCAAACTTCCACGAACATCGACCGCCGTAAACTTACCCTCTGGTTGCATACTTAAAGCGAAAGTCGTTGGTGGATCTTCCGTCTTTTCCACCAAATCAGCCAATGGCAGATCGACAGATACGGCTGGAAAAATTTCCCCAGTCGGCTGCATCACAAATCCAGACATCAAACTGAAATACAAACACGTGGAAGGGCGTCAAGGTACCCAACGTGACACATTTGGTAAGGCCCATTTGTGTTTTTACAAAATCGCGCCAGAACCATACAATTCCACCAAATTAGGTACTTATGAAAATGTTAGAATCGTATAAAGGCTTGTAAGTAAAGAGACTTTATTTTACTTACTTCGAGACAACGCCAGTAAAGCTAAACGCTCCAATATGAAGACATATCCCATTCTATTTAAAGACAAAAACAGTTAAATGTACCGACTTGGGTAAAGTGGCTGTCAACGAATACGCTACGTAAATATTACAGTCAAATGGGATCGAAAACAAAGAAAGGTTCAAAACTTTATCACCAAGCTTTCATCCAATTTAAACCTTCATCCTCTGTGCGCAGTCGGTTTCATTTCAAGTCAACTAAAATAAGCAAAATATGGTGTATAAATTCGAACAATAAAAATATATAAATTATATATATAAATTTAAGTGTAACATTCGTGAAGAGATGCAGTGAATAGGCCCTATGACTTTACATCCAGAACGATGAAGTTCAAGACGTAACTGCGCAAGTCCGCCCATCGTCGAGGGCCTGAAATGTAAGAAAAAGAGAATCATGATAAAAAACAATATTTAAACACCGTTTTTCTTCCCCAGAATCCTTTCAGCAAAGGAGAATATCACCATTACCCAGGTAACAAATCGTCCAATTAAACGTAAACCTGCTAAAAGAAATTTCAGTTTCAAATTAATTTTGAATTGTACACGTCGGGATACTTATTCCGATACAGTAGGCACTACACAGTTTCTGTAATTAGTTTTTTTGCGCCAAAGACGGTGAGTGCATGCGGATAAAACAAAGTACCAAGTGTGGCAATTAAGAAGCTTATTTGTTTAATATACTTTTCTTTCAGAATTTGAGCCAAATGATGGATTCTGTTCGATTCTCTGAGGAGAACGTAGTTTCTTAACAACGAATAATGGGCCGCGGGGATGGAGTTCCGTTAGTGATTTCGATTTGGGGAAATATTTGTACATCCACCTATATCCCTCACCAATATGACCCGGTATATTAACCCTCCGGTCAACAAAACATACAATAGTCTGCTCTGACCCCTGAGTCGGGATTAGAGGGTTCATTCTTCCGTTACTTTTGTCCCTCATGATTTCAAAGCAGCCTACCTTCCGATCGGTCCTTGACCCCCGTCAACACCACCCCCCGTTCCGAACGTTCACCGACCCGTACCACGCCTTCCAGCGTCCCAAACTGCTCGATGTGAATCTGCTTCATGCTTCAGAGAAAATGACGCGTGAATGTGGTTATGCGAATTTAAAGCTTATGTGGCCTAAAAAGTCTGTGATTGCTGAGAAGCCGAAGGTGTAAGAGTGTGGTGGGGCGTCCACGTGGTTAGTCCAGTAACAAAATTGACTGACCTAAATGGCAAGTTTTGACCATCGCTTATGGACTTTCCGTTTTGCCCGAGCGCTAGCTCCCCACAAATTAACAGCAGCGTTTAACTGTGTGACTATGCGTTATGATGATTGATCGAATCGGTGAAATTTGATAACTGCATGATTTTTATGAATATTTTTGATGAACTATCACTGCACAACAGTCGAAACAAAAGCCAACGTACGCTTTAAGTTTTTGGAAAAGTTGGCCCGTCCATTTCTCCTTGGCGAGGTTGTGGGCAGCCAGGCGTGGATGAACGTCCGTCGTGAAATCATAGTAGGACGTTAACGCTGACCACCTGCAGAGAAATTGACCAAGAAAAAAACCTGCGTGGACGTAAAATCGAAGAAGTAGGTTGTACTACAAGTCTAAGCATGTCAAACTTTGTCAAATACCGCTTTTCTCCCCTTGCACCATGCGCCGATTTGCCAAAAGGTCGCTCAGAATGGCTATTTTGCTAGGCCTATACATGACATGAAACTCCTCTTGTTAGGAATTTATCTCGCTTGTGCAAGTATGTGAAACACTTCCAGCTTACGTAAATGAACAGTGAACTTTGACCTCCGGCCTGTTGTCTTCTTCCTGCCAGTCACGTCTAATTCCAAGTCTATAATAAAGTCACACATATTGGTTAGTTTACATGTACATGAATTCACAGCGCTGGTTTATCAAATGTGGTTGATGGCGCATTCATCAATCTCCTTGCTCTTGACATTCACGCAATGGCGTGGTTCTCCGCCACAACGATCCGTATAAACTATTTTGTGGACTCTCTAAAACCTGAAATCATGCTATTTCTCAAACAGAAGCACTGTGACACTGTCAAAGGCCACTGGAAAATTAATACCGGCAGGGTCCATTGTAGACGATCTTCCATTTCTTCAAGGGTTCAATGACCGTGCAATCAAGGCCTCCCCCGCTGAACCCGTCCCCGGGGACATCGGTCAGGACGCAGTGCGGGTGACAGGGCAGAACTAGGTCGCCCAGGTCGGGCAGACGCAGTAGGAACCAAACGTCGCGCCGACCGTCCGGACGGATGGCCACCCGAGCAATCAAGCGAGTCGCGCCCGTCTGGTCGGACCCGTTTACGTAGAACGAGTTGTGACCCTGTGCGGAAAATGGAAATACCCTAACATCCTCATAAAAATGTTGATTTTTTTCTCCTTTTCTAAAGGAAGGTTTCAGCGCGAGTAAGCCTAATCCTTTTTCCGAAACATAATTTAATTTACAAACTGTGGAAAGTGAGGAAATTTACATGTACTTCGTATTAGACAAACAATGGGTCTGTAGTCATTTACGAGCACTGAGAATGATTTGCAAGGGTTCGTCATGTAATTGTCTTTGATTCGAACGGTTTAATGACGGAAATTGATACTTACATTATGCCTTAATACTGATAGTGCATTTTCAACGGAGCCTCAACAATTCTATCCTTTTCTCAAAACTTGTCATAATTATGTTTCATGGGGAAAAATATTTTGAGAAACTTCAGATAATTTCATTGGTGGTATATTTAAATTAATCCTAAGAGTCCCCAATCCTCCAATTTCTATATGATTTTACATACACCATATGGTTTAAATACACGCACGTGTATATGTACATGCACCGATCACAATACGCCCGACATGATGATGAATGAACAGTTTCACTTACCAACGGATCGTCACCAATCCCAGGGTAGATGTCAATCTCAGACATCTTCTCTTCACCTTGTCGCATCAGCGCCGGGTTCACCGACCTCCTGCCCGCGTGAGGAGTCCGCCGCCTCGCTAAAGTTAACATCAATCTCATCGCGTGGTACTTCACCCAAAACCACCTGCCGGGGATGGCGTAGACGCCGTACAGCGGTAAGGGGTCCGGGGAAGCGAGGTTCGCCGCGACGTAGGCGAGAATCGGCGCGGCTAGTACACACAGAGCGGCGACGACCACATCCATTTCGAGAAAGAAACGGACCCGGATGAGTCGTCTCAGGATTCGAATTCGTCTTGCGAAAGAACAGCCCACAAAGCTTATATGCTCGAAACGAACCTTTCAAACTATTGGAGAACTCAGCCTTGCTATGGGTGTGTAGGTCTAGGCCCTGCGCGAAACACTGCGTTCAAAAGGCTGACTTCAGCCTTCCTGCCGTGGTTTTTAAAGGGGGTTTATTACATGCCTCCGGCGGGGAGTACGCTCAGGTCAACCGTTTGTACTAACGCGGTCATTTAACCTGCTCGGATTTATTTTACAAACATGTTTCTTTGTCCCACTCGAGGGAAAAAACTTCCAACAGTAATAACTTGACATCGTGAATAAACATCGATTCATTTGGTTGAGCTAGTAAAAACACGTCATGTAACTTGAATCATAGTACTAATCGTCTGCAGCACTACTATACCGGGAAAGCGAGCTGTCTGTACGGTAGACGTCCTATTTACATAGACCAAAGGTTGCTGATTGCGTGGAGGCAGAAAAATATTGATAGTGGTGCATTCTGGGATAAGGTTTTTGCTAGTTTTTAAATGCGGTCTGCGGTCATGAAACTCATGATGCTGTGTGCATTGCTCGATCGGGCGTATCATGGTCGTCTTCACTGATGACCGAACACAGGAACTTCAGATTTGCATACACTTATCATAATTATTATTCACACAATCTTCAAATACTATTTTTGATAACCGCGTTGCTCAGTCACGCAAGGTTCTGTCCAACCGTGGTCCACTTTGACCCCTAGTGCCGTACAGGGTCTGCTCACTTGACTTCACAGTCGTGTTTTTACTGCAAGTGGCTGCTAAAACTATGGTCGGCCGTTGGTCACAAAAGTGAAAGAATACTTTGCAAAGTGTTAAAAATCCCACGCAGTTATCAAAACATCTGATAATAACACACGTATTACTAAATACTAAATTAAAATACAACCCTATTTAGAACCAATGAGACAAATCTCCATGTCGAACGAATTTGAGGTGAAATCCAAACCCAACCAAAAGGAGATATTTCTGCAAACTGTTTTGGTCGCCGATACAAATTGTAGCAGGCAAACTGAGAGTGGTACATGGTCTTAGCGGCCCCACAGCAACGTTCTCTTGAGCGGATATGCGCGCGTAGTTCCACTTATCGCGCGCTGAATCAACTTGACATATACCAAGTCTATTATTAGCTAAATACGATGAACGTCTACTTTTCTGGCGGAGACTCAACAAATTATTTTCATCAAAGCTTCCTCGGTAAAAAAAACTACTTAAGTGCAAAATAAAAACACGTGTTTGTTTCGCATATAACCAAATCTGCACAAAATACGTGCACACATATAGAATCCGTATAACTACACGGAAGAGTATCCGATTCGTTCGCAGTCCGTAAGGCGGGGTATTAAAAACCGCATAACATCGACTACACACGGAATCCGAAGACAGACAGAATCCATAAGGCTGCGGATACGACACTTGGCCCGGTAAGTAGATAGAATAGCATACTCGGCATCCCATGGCATTTAACAACATTACATGCTGCCTATTGTTTGAAACTGTTCACAGACGGAAGGCAAATTCGACACTATAATTTGTTTCATGACTAGAACGTCTATTTGGTACGTGGGAATCTGGTTGAAAGCTACAAAAGCGATCGGGGTAATAAGTCTCACGAGTTCGCTTTCCATTAATTAGAAATTGATTCTCCTGGTTGTGGAAAAGAGGTATAAAAAAATAACACCCGGCGATTGAATTATGTCATTCAAAAAGCGAAAAGAACAGTCACATCCGTCCAAATAACAGATGGTACAAAGGCAGAAGATTTGGTAAATGCCGAATTCGGCAGTGATCGTGAGATTTATTCTTAAATATTGTGTGCTGAATTTTATAGAACTCTTTAAAACAGAACTACGGTAGATTTGGCAAAGACACTCAGGGCGAAGCTACAACATAATTACGTATAACAGCAATTTGTAAACTGTTCTACGGATGCTGCTAATGGACACACTAGTGATAAACTCATTCTGGAGCGGCGAGTGAAACGGAATCCACACGGTGCATTCCATCCACTATCATCATTGCATCCGATAACAAACAAAACCCCTGATGTTTCACTGAAACACGTGCAAGTCGAGAACATTAAAAAAAGTCTCCATAATTGTCCGAGCATCAATATGAATCATTAATTAAACCACGAGATAGACTTAAGTTGGTCTTCAAGAGAAAGAGAAAACTTACGTACAAAATATAATATAGGGATACTGCCTCACGCTAGTTATAACTAGAATTTTCCATATACACTGTATTGTTGCTGCAAAAAGCCAGCAATTAAGACAATACATGTATTCTTAACCGACTATATCCAAGGGGGACATTGACCAATGATAAAATAGCTGAAAACAGCTGAAAAAAGGGCATTAAGAAGCTGAACTGTGAAAATCTTCGGTACTTTTGTACACAGCCAGTGAGGAAAAAAGCTGAAATCCAAAACAAAAAACCGCTGAAATCAGCTGAAAAGCCGAGAAATCTCACCCCTGTAATATCCCATATCACGGCACATTAAAAAGTTAGTCGTGACTTATCTTACACCACGAACTTGTTTTTATCAATGGAAATATGAATTAAATAAGGGAAGAAGTTTGTATAAATTAAATTTTTAAAAATCCGTCATTTGTACAGGAATCGGAAATGCCATTTTGAATCGAGGTTAAAAATTAAGAACTTCTTAAAATGTTAACTAAATCCAAGATCCCTTAAACAGCACTGTGAAATACATGGACATAAACTAAACATTAAGTTACCAGTTGACACAAAAATTATCCCTACACCATGGAAGTTGAAAGAAATTATCATTCAATTGTGAAGTGTTCACAAACATGGCAGTCAATCCCAGGAGGATGGGGGGGAAATATAGACCCCCCTTTTTGACCAAGGGAGGTGAGCGGTTGCATTATCCCCCACTTTTTTTCGCTGTATCATATGGTGTCCCCATACCCCCCCTTCATATTTCCATTGCCCGACAAGTCACTCCCCTCCCCCCACACACCCAAGTGTGTTTT